TGCTTCTCCCTCTGACCCTCCCCCCTCTCATGTGCTCTCTCTATATCATTCTCTCCCTCAAATAAATAAAATCTTTAAAATAAATAAATAAATAAATAAGCATACCCTTTAAAAAGGAAGGCAAATTCACAAGCCCCGTGAAAAAGATGACCAGTTGAACCCATAGGAAATATGTGTTTAATGCGAATGGAGGCAGTAATGAGGTTGGTGTTTTATCGGACAACATGGATGACCAACGTGACCCTACTGTGAGCTGCCTAAAAGAGACACGAGGCACAATCAAAGGTGCCTACAGGATGAACGTGGCAGGATGGGAGAGGACACACAAGCCAACAGCAACCAGAAGAGAGCTGGAGGGGGCGTACGCTAACATCAGACAAGAGAGATTTCAAGATAAAAATTGCACACGAAGACCAAGCATATTTTATAATGATAAAAGGATTGAACTATCCAGAAGATAAACCGATTGTAAAGAAAAGTGCACCTAACAGCTGGTTCCAAGAGACAATCTGAGTCTTAAGGATTATGAAAAGTTGAAAGCAATGTGCCAGAAAATATGATAGTATGCAATCACTGATTAAAAAAAAAAAAGCATCACGAAAGGTACAGAGTATCTCAGAAAGATAAGCGACAGAGCTTCACCCACCAGGACAGAATTCTAAATTTCAATACATAGTATGGCCTCAACAGATTGACAGCAGAAACAGAAGAGCTAAACAAACAGAAAGGAAAAAAGAATCCTCAGTGTGATTTCAGCCTACGCACCTGAGTAAGAATCAAGGGCTAAGTTACTGTGATTCTAGAGCCAGGGATTTGAATCTAACGGATGGTCGTGGACAGAACGCTCCCCACCCCCCTCCACCCCAACGCTGGGAGCTGTAGAACACACATGTTTTTGGAACACACAGGAGAGATTAGTAAAAAATCAACCACATCTGGTCATAAAGCAAGCCCTCGGCTCACTTCAAAACCTGGAAATTTCCCAAACGTCTGTCCAGAATGAATAAATTGTGTATAATTGGGTATATAACTGGGATATTATTTCAATGACATATTTAGGCAGTGAGAAAGAACAAACTGGGACGTCCATGCTCTGGCTCTCACAAGCATGGGAGCAGGACTCAGCTACAAGCACATACTTCATTGTTTCAAATTTATGGAGTTTATTAATAAAGACAGACAAAACCAGAGCGGTGAGAGATGCATGCTTAGGTAGCAAAACTCCAAAGACTTTATGTCATCAGAAAAGCCACTCGGGTGGTTTACTTGGTGAGGGAAAGAAGCAGTGATTAGAAGAACTATTCAGAAGGTTCTGGAAATATTCTGTTTACAGCTCGGGTGGTGTATTAGTTTGCTAGGGCTGCCATCCAAAATGCCATGCGCAGGTGACTTCCACACAGAAGTGTATTTCCTCACAGTTGTGGAGGCTGGAAGTCCGAGATCAAGATGTTGGCAGGACTGTTTTCTCCTGAGGCCTCTGTCCTGGGCTGGCCAGGGCCGCCCCTGCTGCCTTCACGTGGCCATCCCTCTGAGCACCTGCTGCCCTTCTTCTGTGTCCTCATCTCCTCTTCTTACAAGGACACCAGTCAGATTGATTAGGACCCACCCTAATGGCCCCGTTTTAACTCAATCACCTTTTTAAAGACCCTGTCTCCAAATACAGTCATATTCTGGCTTTCCGGGGGTTAAAACTTCACTATATGAATTTTAGAAGGGACACAATTCAGTCCATAACAAATGCTGATCACCCGGGTGCTCACGTCAAGATAAGCTGAGCTGGACATCTTGTCTTGTGTCTATTCCCCAGGAGCGTCTTTTTAAAATGAAACAGAAACTGAAAAATGCATGCGGCTTCACCACACTCACAACAAAAATAAGACCCCGTGAGGCTCCGGTCACCCTTCTTTGGCCCAGCTCCATGCGCTCGGATCCTTGAATGTAGTCACACAAGCCCCATGTGTCATCCCACCTAAACCCTCGTGACCTCAGATTGAGAACCAGGGGTGAGAGTGGCCGCCTCAAATGCTCTGACGTCATCCGCAGCACAGAAAAGTCACAGACGTCTGCCAGGCTGGTTTTGGTGCATCAGTGTCGAGAATGACTAGTTTTTACTTTTCACCCACCTGAAAGAACGATCGACAATAGTGATCACATCTCCGTGCTTTAGCCGTACAGGGTCCGCGATGACGGATCCGTTCACTTGTGTCGGATTGGTGGAACTGAAATTAAACAACATTGCCTACAAAGTAGGAGAAAGGGGAAAATAGGTAATTGATGAATGGGTAAAAAGTGAAATGAACAGTTAAAAAACAAAACAAAACAAAACACAACAGATTTCAAACACCCACTTACCTCCTGCCCACTGATCTCAATTTTGCAATGTTGTTTTGACACGACAGGGAGCTGGATCCGAATGTCACATTCGATACCCCTTCGATGAAAGAAATGAAGAGTTTTAGGCTGCCACAATTTTTTCTAGAAATTCCATGAATGCTTCAAAATAAAATAGCATTTGACCAAATGTTTGATCCATAAATGAAACGACAGAGAGTGGTCATCAGTTGGGCGATGTGATGACCTGTGCATTCGGCAAACCATTTTGACAAGTATTGTATAAGCAACTATTTTAAATCTTTAAGACTTTGGGTACTTGAAAACAATTATAAGGAAAATATTAGAATACAAAACTGGATTGCCTTTACTGAAATACCTATGCTTTTAAGACCCAAATAAGGGAGTACTTCCTATCAGTTTGGAGAACTGTAACGATTTCTGATACTCTGTGCCTTTTTTCTAGAAAGAAAGGTTTATGTGTGTTTGTTTGCAATGTTATGTATGTTTCAAGGTTTCATCATCACTACATGTGCTATATTTTATACTAACACCTGTCTCTTCACATATAAAAAGACAATCACATCAGCACCTACATCACGGGGTTGTTCAAACAATGAATGAATTATACATTTCTGCCATTTGCCTGGCACATAGTCGATGCTATTTACTCATGAGCTTTTCATTGTTTTAAAACTACACTGTATTAATGGACGGGTTCACAAGTCTATTATTAAAAATACGAATGCGAGCAACAAATAAGCATTATTAGATTCAACTTCACTTTCCACACAAAGAACATCAGAAGGAAGCACCATTAGGGAGCATTTCCAAACCCACGTGCACACTAATCCAAATGGTCCTTAGTAAGTTTCCTTGGGTCTCTGGGGTTCCCTTTACTGTAAGTTTGAACAGTTATATACTCTCCTTTCTGTTCTCAATACACTATTCCGGAGCTGGGACTATCTTTCTAGAACGCATATAAAAGATACAGTGGTATAAAATAATTGCAGAGCTGGAAGTGGACTCCCAAGGGCTGATAGACTTGGATTGTGTCAGTGTGCGCTCAGTTTCTTGTCCCTGCATAGTTGTACGGTGTCCTTGGCCTTCGTGGAAAGATGTGGTTTAGTGGTTTCGGCTTAGTGTGGCAAATAGGTTGTAAAGGACAAAGCAGCACATCAGTAGCTGTGGAGAGAGCAGTGCTAGCTGTCTGTCCATATAAAGAGAGAAATGGGCTCAGCCACAGAGGTTTAAAGTATCTGCTTGTCCCGTATATTAACACTAACCGGGGCTCAGATACACAGTTGTATTTTATGTTTCATGGTCTCCTAGCCTTTCCAGCCCAAGCACTTTTGGACAAAACTTGCTCCTTGTTTGAGGTTTCGTTGTCGGGTTTCTGTGTTTGTTTTTGTGGGTGTTTGGCTCATTCCATCCGTGAGCTTTGCAGGCAGCCAGACGTGATGCAGAACTTAGGTTCTGAGGTGTTTCTGGTAGTGGGGTCATTGGTTGGCAGGAGTAAGTCATACTTTTTCTCTAAAGGGGGATGTGGGTGGTAATCCACGAGACGAGCTGAAGTGTAGTTGTTAGAAGAATTTTGCGACTGTAAATTTTAGCTTTGAGTTTTGTTGCTCTAGTTCCTAACATAACTTGGAGATGCTGCTCATTTGTCCAGGGACCCCTCTGACTCCTGGGATCCCACCCATTCTTTCACTTTAAGAAAAAACAAGTAATGGTTGCAGAGGTCTCTGTATTCTGCAGCTGCCCTTTTGTAAGTACTTTTCCCAAATAAAACCATTAAAAAAAAAAAAAAAGAGTATCTCTTCCTACATATGTCATATGACCAAACACTTTTGAATGGGTTATAAATGATAAAACCCCACATAAAAAGATATTTAATCACTGCTGTAGAATAACGAGAATTACTGACATTTAACACCAAAATGTTTATTCTTTTTCCTTTGAAGAGAAAAGAAGGTATGGGAAGTGAACAGCCACTTTAAACTAAAGAAGAATATTTGATTTTTAGATAACAGACTATTACAGCGAGAGAGAGAGAGAGAGAGAAAGAGATTATCTCATTAGATCTGAGAATTTGTGTGGCTGCAAATTGCTAACTAGAATCCCTATGGATCAGTGGTTCTTAACCTCAGCACCATTGACAGTCTTTACAGTGGGGGCTGTTCTCTACATTGTAGGCTCCTTAGCAGCATCCCTGACCTCTTTCATTGATGCCGCTGGTTTAAGCCTCCCACACTGTGACATAGAAAAATGTCTCCAGACCTTGCCAGATGTCTCCTGCAGGGCAAAAGAACCCACGGCTGAGAACCACTGCTATTTATGACTACGTTCAGCCCATGCATCCGCTAGACACAGAGGCCAGCTATTGATCACCTCTCTCGCCAGACCCCTACCAGGCACTGCGTACATCATTATGAACCAGACAGTCCCTGTCCTTACACAGTTTAGTAGTGGGAGACACAACCAGGGACTCATCACCCTGCATGGTGTTAGGAAAGACCGGAGCAGTGTTCACCTAAGGGTTCTCTTTAGGTAACACTTAAACGGATATCTGAAAGTTGGAAAGGAGGCACTCACATAGGAAGATAGAGAGAACATTCCAGTCATAAAAGTTTAAACTGGCCAAAAGCATCAAGATGAGCAAGAGCTCGGAACGTCTGAGGTGAGGTAGAACATGGTAAGGATGGGGTGGGTAGGACAGGATGGGGTATGGGTAGAAGGTGGTCAGGGGTCCCACCTCACAGGGTTCCACAGAGAGGGTGACCTATCACTTTATAAGAAATCCCATGTTACAAACGCGGAGCAGTGTACCTGTTATACTGGGACCATAGTTATTTACCACCAACACAAGCCGGCAAAAAGAAAGAAGTTCTCAAAACACTAGCAGGACTTCTCCTATTTTCATTTTTCCAAAAAACCAACAAGCCAAATACAGAGCCTCCTCCCCTCATTTGCTCAGTAGTGTCCCCCCCACAGCCAAGGCAAGCCAAGTTTGGAGGGATTTCAGATGAACATACTGGTCATCTAAAGAATGCCGGAAGTGAATCAGGTTTTGAGAATAATCTACATTTTTCTCAATTGAAAGATTTTATCAAGTCAATTTTAAAATGTGTTTGATTAAAAACAATACTTAACTGTATAAACATTGTTTTCAAAAATCGATTTCCTAATAAACAACTATGTTACATTGACAATAGGTAGGAAAGTCCCCTGCAAATGTGGGGGCAGGAACCACTCCTAGGGCATTTCCAGTCTGTTAATCTATGATTAGGATATTAATGTCTTTTAAACTAAATTGTCCACCCCTGTGCAGGGCTCACCTTCCAAACAAGCAGGTGCTGAGGCTCAGCGGAAAGTGGGGGCCGTCCACCCCACTTCTTTTGATGGTAACAAGGCGTCCTGTAGGACCCATTTTCTAAGCAAGATGTTGAGTGTAATCCTTATAGGAAGGTCAGGCATCAGAAGGTTTGCTGAAGCAAACTTACTGCAGGAACATGCCACTGAATAAAACAAAAACAAAACACACGAGGGGGGGGGGTGTTTTTCTAAAAGCAAAGAGATTGGAAGTCACTTGTAAGTGACCAAATGGGCTCACATGTACAATTCTTCATGCTCCTGCCACCTTGACCTACACCTTACTTGACCCCTGGGGAGCCCCAGCCAGGTCCCGGCTTGCACCCCAGGGCGCCCCCCAATACCCAGTGCCCTCAAAGACCCGCGGCCAGGACGCAGTCCATCAAGGTCTAGGCTCCTGGGTGTTCCCACCGAGACCCCCTCGCCAGAGCCCTGGTCGCGCTGCAGGCGCTGGTTCCAGCAGAGCACAGGGGTCCCCAAGGCCCGGGCCCCCAGGCACACCGGCCGCCCCCGGCCCCCGAGGTCCCCCGACAGTGGCTCACCCAGGACAAGTTGCCCGCACCGCCACCAGTGGGTCCACCGCTCTGCCAGATGCAACCCAAGTCCTCACCTGGAAAAGCCAGAGACTCGCCCACTTGCGTCCACCGCCCGCCCCTTGCTCCAGGGACGGGGACTGCCCGCGGCCAGCTCCGCCGCAGTCCTCACTCCCCCCCCGCCGTCGCCTTCGCCGGCGACCAGGTAGCCCAGCCCCGCTGCGTCCGGGAGGTGCCCGGCGTTAGCTGCTCCGCGCGTAAAGCCGCCGCCGCGCCCTCCCGATTCAAATGAAAACAACGATTCGAATTTGGCGCTAAGCGCTGCGATTGGACGCGGCGGCGCGACGGCAGACCAATGGGCATGGGCGAAGGCGGGGCGGGGCCAGAGGGGAGGGCGCGGGCTCCGCGGGGCAGGCAGTGCGGACCGGCGGGCGCCCGGTGCACCTGCGGAAGACGGAGGGTTCTCACCGGGGACAGAGTGAAAAAGGCGGAAATGGAACATGGTCTTACTGCCAGGAAACCTCTCTTGCCTCCTTTTCTTTAAGGACAAACACAACTGCACACAATATGTTACTCATTGCTGGCAGGTTTAAAAATTTTAAAAACTTCCCATATCTTCTCAAAGACAACCAATTATTATGAGCAATTTCTTGTGTCTTTTCCCAGTTATACATGTTATTAGTCCCCTTCAAAAACACAGTAAAAAGATCATAATATGCACATTGTTCTATACTTCCTGTTCTCTGCTTTATTAATTCTGTGGATATTAATATTGAGTACATCTTCCCCTTTTACTTTCTTTTTGATGGCTGCAGAGTATTTGCCTTCAGAAACCATAATTTCCTTAATCACTACTATTGCTATGCATTTAGGTTTACAGCGTTTTCCCATTAGAAAAAAAAAAAAAATCTCTAATTAAAAAAGCTTGTGCAATACAAAATGGATGGCTTCTAAAATAACCACAGGATTCCTTTCTAGAGTCACCTAACTGGTGGTGGGGGGGGGTCGGTGAGGGAGCTCCTGTGGACAAACGTGGTGTGAATTGAAAGGAGCCAGAACATGCTGATGCCCATCCTGCACAACACCACTACCCCCCACCCCCCTGCCCCAGCTTACTCTACAACCATGGAGCTTGGCTTTCCTTGGTCAGGAGCTGCCTTTTTCACAGCACGGACTGGGGACCCCTGAGGACGTCTGAGATCCTTGCAAGGGGTCCATGAGGTCAAAACCATGCTTGTAATAACACCAGACTTTCTTTGTCCTTTTTACCCTTGTTTTCTCAGGAAGGTGGAGTTTCCTGAATGCAGAAGCAGATGTGAGAAACCAGCTGTCTTACTATGTCAGGTATTACAGATTTTTGCAAAAACTGAAAATACTACTGTTCATCTCAGTAATTTAAAAAAGTAGATGTATTTCATAAAAAAATGTTTTTATGTTAATATGAAATGGGTTCATCATTGCTTTAAAATAAATTGACAACTGAAGTTTGAATGTTTCTGCTCCTGAGTGGTAACTCAGAGATAGAGCACCTTCAGGAATATGGAAAAGCTCCTAGAGATGAAATGTGAATGCAAAGGACCTCCAACTCCTAATTGTCTGTGACAAGGCTGATGTAGGTAATTTAAATGTGTGGATGCTATTAACCTTCTTTAGGGGATTAGTTTCCATTTTCTCCCCCTTTACACCACTGCAGAAAGTGCGTCTCAGAACAACCTCCTAAAATGCTACTTTTGTCACTCTAATTACTGCTTGTTATCAGGGACGGCTCTGTGACCTTGCTGGGGCAGCCTAATTAGAACTGGGAGGTGCTAGACTTCCTGTCCAATAATCTTACAAACACTCTGCAGTACATAGAGTTGGTTCTCTAGAGAGAGCGGGAGTTGCAGAAAGACTTAGGGGGTTGTTGCTGAAGGGGGGGATCTTGGCTTGGGGGACGGCCCTCTTTAAACTGTTGGATATCCTACTTTAACAGTGGGGCTTTCCATGGGATTTCAAGCTTGGCCCAGGACCTAAGACTTCGTTGAAAACACAGACCTCAGTCCTGTGAGAAGAATCCCATGCCCCATTTGCAGGGTTGACATCTGGACCCCAAGCTCCATTCCAACACCATCAGAGTCTCGAATAGAGTGTAGAATGGGGACTATGTTAAACTAACAGTCACCAAGATGGGCAGGAAAAGGCTTTGGCCTGAGGAGTTTTCAGGGAATCAATTTCTAGATCCTCAGAGTCCTCACACTTATGTCCAAATCAATCAGGCCAAGAAAGTGTGTCTAGGGCCCCTGACCCTGGGACCCTTCTCCCTGGCCCTGTGCCGTCCCCTTGACACTTTCACTTGCCTGAAATTTACTTGGGGAATTGCACCAGGCACCCAATAAGGGACCATTCAACAATCCCCTTAAACTCTGTGCCTATCCACCTGATTAGATAGTGTATTTCCAATAAATGGAACATATGTTTAAAAATATTTATCACCTTTGAAACATGTATATTGTTTGGTCATCTGTGTTCCAGTAAATATTATATTCTGTAATCACTGACACCTCGTCCAGTAGAGAAGGTGGCTGGAGGAAGGCGAGGAGCAGGGATGTCCAGGTGCCCCTCCTGGGCAGGCTACGCCCCGACAAGTGTGGTCAATCTGGGTTAAGTCCCACCCCGGCACCCTGGGAACCACACTTGTCAGATGTTCCAAGTCCACGGATTACCACCCCCCTCCACGAGGCTGCAGGAAGGGGTTGTCATGCCAGTCATCACCGGAGCCCCTTGCTTCCCAACTTCCCTTCCACTCCAGATCTCTTAGTCACCCCTCTTCAGGCCAGCCTTCCAGTCTCCTGGGCAGATGAGGCCCTTAAAGTGGGGGTGGGGGACAGAACAGGTGGCCAGCCCTAAAGCTGGACTCTCTCCCCTAGGGCCCCCAAACCAGGTGTATCTGGTTCTCTGAGCAAGATCCCAATGGCTTCTTACCCAGCTCTTTTACCAGCATTCCACTGGCGGTGGCCCAGTGGTCTGTAGGGGTTGTGGGTCCCCTGGGTTCCCAGCCTCTCCCCACACTGGGTCCCCCGGGCCTTTCTTCCTGGCTTGTCTGGGAGGTCAGCTCCATCTAGGTCTAAGCACGTGTGGGACCACAGCTTTCCCTACCTTCAAATTCTGTCAGCATTTCCTAAGTCCCAACTCTGAAAGGGATGTGACATAATCCTGTTGATCTCTGGGACGTCAACTCTGGACTCTCTGTAGGGCCATCTCGGCAGGGAATGAGCTGTTGCACATTGACCCCAGATCATGTGACTTGCTGGCTAATGCCCTTCAGAGGTTGCTAATTGCTTTTGGGATAGAATCCAAACTCCTGCCAGGACCTAAGAGGTCACATGAGATCTTAGACCTCCTGCCTCCTTGGTCTCCTTGATCCCAATCCACTTCAGTGCCCTAACCACCTGAGCTCTTCCTTCCTCCAAGATTCCCAGATCCTTCTAGCCTGAGGGCTGCTGGTTCTGCTCCTCTCTCCCCAAAAGCTCACTGGGCCAGGAAGAGGAGGTGAGCTTTGCAGCGGGGATAATCCACTCCCAGAACAGGTAGTTGAAGAATCTGTCTGGAGAGGAATCATCCCAGATGTGCCCAGACCAGTGAAGACCTGCTCCAGCCAAGGGGATTTTCCACATCAACTGCGTGTACTCGCACTCGACTAACCTGGAGAAAAGGGGAACCAGAACCTTGATCTCTACTCTCTTAGTTAGAAAAAAAACTGGGACAGAGCATGGCATTGAAAACCGTGGAAGAAATTTTGAAAAACTTTTTTTATTTAAGAAGCTAATACTACATGCTGTCATTATAGAATATTTGGAAAATACACAAATGTGTAAGGAAGAAAAATTTACCCCAAGATGAACAGAAAAAATCATGTTTTTATCTGTGTAATATTTCTTTTGCTTAATAAACCTATTTGTGTATACACATACCATTTTATTTCTTATGCTTTCACTTATCATTATCTTGTAAACATTTTCTCATTCATTCTTAGTGAATATCACCTTGATAACCATATTTCAACTGTGTTCCTAACATTTAATTATTACAAATGATGCTGTGATCAACATCTTGAGCAGAAACCTTATTTTAATGTAACAGATTATGTTCTTAGTTTCTATCTCCCAAAATCTCGTTGCTGGATCAAATAATATTTGCTTAATATCATCTAACTGCATGCTTTTCAAAAAGGTTGTAACAATTTATCTACCCAGATCAATGCTTGAGAATGCCTGTCTTACCATTGGCTCTTTGCATTCACATTTTAAATTCTCTGCTAACTTGATAAGCCAAAGATGTTCAATTTGAATTTCAAAATTACCAGTTAGTTTAAACACTTTTCCTTACCTATTTAAACTTTTCATCTTTTTGGCTTTGGGGCAATAGTCTCTTTGAGGCTTTTGCCTAATTTTCTAATCATGTCCTAGAGTTTTCCTTATTGACTTATTTCACAAATATATAAATCCTTGCTCTGCAGAGTTAGTGGAA